CAGCCTCCCTAGTAGCTGGGACTACAAGCGCCCGCCACCACGCCTGGCTAATTTTTTTGTATTTTTAGTAGAGACAGGGTTTCACCGTGTTAGCCGGGAGGGTCTCCATCTCCTGACCTCATGATCCGCCCGCCTCGGCTTCCAAAAGTGCTGGTATTACAGGTGTGAGCCACAGCGCCCAGCCTCCTTTACTCTGTTTCTTTCCTTCCTTCCTTGTCTTTCTTTGTCTTTCTTTCCTTCCTTCTTTGTTTCCTTCTCTCTTTTTCTTTTCTTTCCTTCCTTCTTTCCTTATCTCTTTTCTTTCCTTCCTCCTTCTTTCCTGCTTTATCTCTTCTTTCCTTCCTCCTTCTTTCCTTCTTCTTTCTCTTCCCTCCTTCTTTCTTTCCTCCCTTCTTTCTTTCCTTTCTTCCTTCTTTCTTTCCTTCCTTCTTTCCTTCTTTTCTTTTTCTTTCCTTCCTTCTTTCTCTCCTTTTCTCTCTCTTTCCTTCCTTCTTTCCTTCTTTTCTTGCTCTTTCTTGCTTGCTTTCCTTCCTTCCTTTTTTCCTTCTTTTCTTTTTTTTTTTGAGACGGAGTCTTGCTCTGTCGCCCAGGCTCGAGTGCAGTGGCGCAATCTCGGCTCACTGCAAGTTCCACCTCCTGGGTTCACGCCATTCTCCTGCCTCAACCTCCCGAGTAGCTGGGACTACAGGTGCCCGCCACCACACTTGGCTAATTTTTTTGTATTTCTAGTAAAGATGGGGTTTCACCATGTTAGCCAGGATGGTCTCGATCTCCTGACCTCGTAATCCGCCCACCTCTGCCTCCCAAAGTGCTTGGATTACAGGCGTGAGCCACTGCGCTCGGCCTTCCTTCTTTTCTTTCTTTCTCTCTCTTTTTCTTTTATTTATTTTTTTATTTTTTGAGACGGAGTCTGGCTCGGTCGCCCAGGCTGGAGTGAAACGGCACGATCTCAGCTCACTGCAACCTCTGCCTCCCAGGTTCAAGCAATTCTCCTGCCTCAGCCTCTGAAGTAGCTGGGATTACAGGCGTGCACCACCACGCCCGGCTAATTTTTTGTATCTTTAGTAGAGACAGGGTTTCACCATATTGGTTAGGCTGGTCTCGAACTTTTTTTTTTTTAGACGGAGTCTCGCTCTGTTGCTCAGGCTGGAGTGCTGTGGTGCGGTCTCGGCTAACTGCAACCACAGCCTCCCAGGTTCAAACGATTCTCCTGCCTCAGCCTCCCAAGTAGCTGGGATTACAGGTGCGCACCACCACACCCGGCTAATTTTTTGTATTTTTAGTAAAGATGGAGGTTTCACCATGTTGGCCAGGCTGCTCTTAAACTCCTGACCTGTGATTTGCCCGCCTCGGCTTCCCAAAGCGCTGGGATTATAGGCGTGAGCCACCGCGCCAGGCCCTGGCCCTTCTTTCATGTTTTAATTCGAGGCAGCTTGGCATGTACTAAGTTTTCAAAAATACATACATTTCCATCTATACTCCGACACCCATCCAATTAGCAAATTGTGTTCACAGCTCTCAGACTCACTCATAGATTTAGAATCTCCTCAGGGACTTAATCTTAATTGAAGACAAATGAGATCCTAGAGGGGCTTTTTGTCCTAAAGGTGAGCTGGAATGTGGGAGGAACAGTTTTAGCACAAGATCAAGTTGAAAGTTCCTTCATCTTTTCTGGTGATACTGTGGCTGATGGTATTTGCTGTTAAATGGAATGGTAGTGAGGAAATATCACGGAAGGGGGCACCCGGATTCGAACCGGGGACCTCTTGATCTGCAGTCAAATGCTCTACCCCTGAGCCATACCCCCTCTGTCCATTACAGGTTCCTTCCCTGTCCACTTATGGTGACTCAATACAATCAAGTTCCACCCACATGAGTTCTGGCAAGTTTTGTGTTCTAAAGCCCCACCTTCTTAATTATCCATCATCTGGTTTGGCTTTTCCATTGGCCACCAATAAATTGAAAGGGAACACTTGAAAAATGACATTCTGGGCCAGGAGGGTGGCTCACGCCTGTAATCCCAGCACTCAGGGAGGCCGAGGTGAGGTCAGGAGTTCGAGACTAGCCTGACCAAAACTGTGAAACCGCGCCCCCACTAAATATGAAATAACTAGCTGGGAGTGGTGGCAGGCACTTGTAATTCTAGCTACTAGGGAGGCTGAGTCAGGAGAATTGCTTGAATCCCTGGAGGCAGAGGTTGCAGTGAGCTGAGATCATACCACTGCACTCCAGCCTGGGCTAACAGAATGAGTCTCTCTCTCTCCTTCTCTCTCTCTCTCTCTGTATATATATATATGCATATCTATACACATATATATACATAAACATACACACACACACACACACACACACGCGTATATGTTTAGTAAAGACAGTGTTTCATCATGTTGCCCAGGCTGGTCTCAAGTGATCCACTTGCCTGAGCTCAAGCAATCCTCCCATCTTGGCCTCCCAGCGTGCTGGCATTACAGGCATAAGCCAAGGAGCTTGGCCTTTGCTCTGTTCTTGATGGAAACAATAGCCAGCTCTGACCTGGGGCTCTGCTGACAGCTGGGGAAGTGCTTTATTGAGGTTGAGTAGTGTGGCTCCTTCTTGTCCCACTGGTAGGGCAGAACTGAAGCCCCTCCTTTCAAACCTGGCACTCGTTGGTATGGAGTGCAAGGGTGTAGGCCTGAGAAGCCCTTTCTCCTCTCCCCTCCTCTCCAGGGGGAAGAGAAGCCAAGGGCAGAACTGGCTCATTCCTCTAATCTCAGGGAAGAAACAGCACACGTGGAGACACAAATTAAATTTTTAACGTAAAATAACATTAAGAGTTCATCTAAACATTTGTCTTAGAAATTCAGGTCGATGGCTAGGAAGGGAAAAGATGCTGTTAGAACAGAGGGAAGTGGGTGACCTCTCCAAAGACGGACGTGCTCCGACGGAGGGCTGGAGTGTTCCGGCGGTAGCCAAACCTTCCATTGAACCCATAGATTGGTTTCAGATCAGCATTGTAGTGGTCGTGCCCAGTCACCTGCTGGAGAGAATGCCCTTGGGGGCAAGGAGAGAGAGGCCTGAGCCTGCATTCAGCCCACCTCTTGGCTTCCCCATTCCCCTGGGTGTGGTATGGGATGCCAACCAGGCATAGTCACTTGCATTCCCCATGCCCACAGCTGAACATGCAATCCTCAAATTCCCCGAGCCTCTGGGCTGAAAGGCCAAGGGCTGGTGAGGCTGAGGGACAGAAGGCTTCCTAGAAATAAAACCCCGCACCAGGAATAATTGCAGGAAAACTGTGAATGGTTTGTGCTGGGACAGGAAGGGCCAGAAATTCTGGGATTGGCAAAGCTTGCTTTTCTCCCACAAGAAATGAGAAAAATCTCACCCTTGCCTCTGACCCATGTGGAAAAAATGGATGAGATCAAGATCAGTTGGGCCAAATGGCACAAAGTATCATGTGACTAGAGAAGTGACCCACGATGGTGGAGCTGGGCTGGGAGGAGGGTTTACCCTGTTAGAAAAATATCTCGGCCGGGCGCGGTGGCTCATGCCTGTAATCCCAGCACTTTAGGAGGCCGAGGCGGGTGGATCCCGAGGTCAGGAGCTCGAGACCATCCTGGCTAACATGGTGAAAACCCATCGGAACTAAAAATACAAAAAATTAGCCAGGCGTGGTGGCAGGCGCCTGTAGTCCCAGCTACCTGGGAGGCTGAGGCAGGAGAATGGTGTGAACCCAAGAGGCAGAGGTTGCAGTGAGCCGAGATCGTGCCACTGCACTCCAGCCTGGGCAACAGAGCAAAACTCGGTCTCAAAAAAAAGAAAAATATCTCTCAACTCTTTCCCATTGTTGTTAACCTGGGCCTGGAAAATGAGCAGGATGCAGCAGTGAGGGGAACAGGGGCTTCAGAGTTGGGAAGAGCGGAATCTTTTTGTTCATTTGTTTTTGAGATGGAGTCTCGCATTGTCGCCTAGGCTGGAGTGCAATGATGCAATCTTGGATCACTGCAACCTCTGCCTCCTGGATTCAAGAGATTATCCTGCATCAGCCTCTTGAATAGCTGGGATTATAGGTGCCCGCCAACATGCCTGGCTAATTGTTTGTATTTTTAATAGAGATGGGGTTTCACTATGTTGGCCAGGCTGGTCTTGAACTCTTGACCTCGTGATCTGCCTGCCTCAGCCTCCCTAAGTGCTGGGATTACAGGCAAGATCATGAGCCACTGTACCAGGCCCAGGAAGAGCAGAATATTAATTTCAGCTCAGCCCTCTTGCCAAATTACTTTAACTAAAGAAACTTGTTTCCCTACCTGTGCTGTGGGGTTAGTGTGACGGTGAAAAGTGCCTAACAAATGGCTCAGGTCTGTAATGCCAGCACTTTAGGAGGCTGAGGCCAGAGGATCACTTGAGCCTAGGAGTTCAAGAGCAGCCTGGGCCACATAGGGAGACTCTATCTCTACAAAAAATAAAAAATTAACTGAGTGTGGTGGTGCACACCTGTGGGCGCAGCTGCTCAGGAGGCTGAGGTGGGAGGATTGCTCAAGCCCAGGAGGTCAAGACTGCAGTCAGTAGTAATTGTGCTACTGCATTTCTTTTTTTTTTTAAATGGAGTCTCGCTGTGTCGCCCAGGCTGGAGTGCAGTGGCATGATCTTGGCTCACTGCAACCTCCGCCTCCTGGGTTCAAGCAATTCTCCTGCCTTAGCCTCCCAAGTAGCTGGGATTCCAGGTGCGAGCCACCACGCCCGGCTAATTGTCTTTTTGTATTTTTAGTAGAGACAGGGTTTAACCAGGTTGGCCAGGCTGGTTTGGAACTCCTGACCTCAAGTGATCCACTCGCCTCGGCCTCCCAAAGTGCTGGGATTACAGGCATGAGCCACCACACCCATCCGTGCTACTGCATTTCATGCAATCCAGTTTGGGTGACAGACTGAGACCATGTCTCAAAAAAAAAAAAGAAAAAATGGGGCCTGACATACAGTACTGGGGCTTATTAACTAATATTAGGGAGCACTGTGGCACCATATGCTCGTGTATGTGAAGAAAACCTGGAAGGATGTAGTCCCTTAGCCTCTTCCCCTCAACCAGGCCTCGCTATGGCCCAGGAACCATGATGAGGCTGGAAATGGAGGCAGCACTTGCCTGTCCCTGCCCAATTTCTCCTGTTGAGGTATCTCTGTCCTTGCCCAAAGATGTGGATATAGTCTACAATCCAGCCATCCCTTCCTGTACCGCCATGATCCTGAAAGTGGGGAAGAGAATACAGAAGACTGTCAGCCACAATGCTGAGGGGGGCACGGTGCAATCTGCCCTGGGGTTTGCTGTGGGGAGAGGGAAGAGGTCAGAGCCTTAGGTAACTGGGGCAGACAGACTAAATATATTTAAGAACCAGGCCAGGCGCAGTGGCTCAGGCCTGTAATCCCAGCACTTTGGAAGGCCAAGGTGGGTGGATTACCTGAGGCCAGGAGTTCGAGACTAGCCTTGCCAACATGGCGAAACCCCATCTCTACTAAAAATACAAAAAATCAGCTGGGCATGGTAGCAGGCGTCTGTAATCCCAGCTGCTCAGGAGGCTGAGACAGTAGAATTGCTTGAACCCCGGAGGCAGAAGTTGCAGTGAGCCGAGATCTTGCCGTTGCACTCCAGCCTGGGCAACAAGAGCCAAACTCTGTCTCAAAAAAAAAAAAAAGAAGAAGAACCTATTGCCTCTCAGGGCAGTTGAACTTGGCAGCTGAAGGCTCAGTCTCTGCTGCCAGACAGGCTGGGTTCTAACTCCAGCTCAATCATTAACAGGCTTTGTGAACTTGGGCCAATTACACAGCTTTTCTGGGCCTCAATTTCCCCATCAGTAAAAGGAGTATTGCTGTGAGGTTTGTTTTTTGAGACATGGTCTCACTCTGTTGCCCAGGCTGGAGTGCAGTGTTGCCACCTTGGCTCACTGCAACCTCCGCCTCCTGGGTTCAAACAATTCTCCTGCCTCAGCCTCCTGAGTAGCTAGGATTACAGACATGCGCCACCATGCCAGCTAATTGGCCAGGCTGGTCTCAAACTCTTTAACTCAGGTGATCCACCCGCCTCAGCCTCCCAGAGTGCTGGGATTACGGGAGTGAGTCACCGCACCGGCCTGCTGTGAGACTTAAGTGGTTTTGGTCAGATAAAGGGCCTGGCATAGTGAAGTTGTATAAATGTTATCTTTATTTAAATGAAAATAATACCTACCACAAATGGTGGTTTTGACAATAATACTTTTAAAAATTAAACAGGTTGGTTGGGAGCGGTGGCTAACACCTGTAATCCCAGCACTGTGGGAGGCCAAGGCAGGAGGATCACCTGAGGTCAAAAGTTGGAGACCAGCCTGGCCAACATGGCGAAACCCCTACTACAAATACAAAAATTAGCCAGGTGTAGTGGCGCGTGCCTGTAATCCCAGCTACTCAGGAGGCGGAGGCAGGAGAATCACTTGAACCCGGGAGACAGAGGTTGCAGTGAGCTGAGATCGTGCCACTGTACTCCAGCCTGGGAGATAGAGTGAGACTCCCTCTCAAAAACAAACAAACAAAAGAAACAGGCTGGGCACAGTGGCTTGTGCCTATAATCCCAGCACTTTAGGAGGCTGAGGCAAGAGGATTACTTGAACCCAGAAGTTTGAGACCAGCCCAGGTAACATGGCCAGACCCGTCTCAACAAAAAAACTAAAAGATTGCGGCTGGGTATGGTGGCTCATACCTGTAATCCCAGCACTTTAGGAGGCCAAGATGGGCAGATCACAAGGTCAGGAGTTCGAGACCAGCCTGGCCAACATAGTGAAACCCCATCTCTACTAAAACTATAAAAAATCAGCTGGGCATCGTGGCAGGTGCCTGTAATCCCAGCTACTTGGGAGGCTGGGGCAGGAGAATCACTTGAACCCGGGAAGCTGAGGTTGCAGTGAGCCGAGGTCATACCACTGCACTCCAACCTGGGCGACAGGGTGAGACTCTGCCTCAAAAAAGAAAAAAAATTAAAAGATTAGCCGCTGGGCATGGTGGCACACGCCTATAGTCCCACTTACTCAGAAGGCTGAGACTGGAGGATTTTTTAAGCCCAGCAGTTCGAGGCTGCAGTGAGCTGTGCCACTGCACTTCCAGCCTGGGTGACAGAGTGGCACTTTGTCTCGAAAAAGAAAATTGGAAAGCTTTTCCAAGGCCGGCTGCGGTGGCTCACGCCTGTAATCCCAGCACTTTGGGAGGCTGAAGCAGGTGGATCAGTTGCGGTCAGGAGTTCGAGACCAGCCTGGCCAACATAGTGAAACCCCGTCTCTACTAAAAATACAAAAAATCAGCTGGGTGTGGTGGCGGGCGCTTATAATCTCAGCTACTTGGGAGGCTGAGGCAGGAGAATTGCTTGAACCTAGGAGGCGAAGATTGCAGTGAACCAAGATCAGGCCACTCCACTCCAGCCTGGATGACAGAGTGAGACTCTGTCTAAAAAAAAAAAAAAAGAAAGCTTTTTCAAAATATGTATACCTTATCATTTTCAAGGTTTTAAATACTCAGGTTCTTCCTTTTCCCCTCCCCAGACTCTGGTTCCTTCTGTCGTAAAATTACCAGTCGATGCCAGTGTGGTGGCTCATGCCTGTAGTCCCAGCACTTTGGGAGGCTGAGATGGGCAGATCACTTGAGCTCAGCAGTTCAAGACCAGCCTGGGCAACATGGTGAAACCCGTTTTCTGTTAGTCCCAGCTACTCGAGAGGCTGAAGTAGACGGATCGCTTGAACACGGAAGGCGGAGGTTGCAGTAAGCCAAAATTATGCCACTGCACTCCAGCCAGGGTGACAGAACAAGACCCTGTCTCAAAAAAAAAAAAAAAGAAAGAAAGAAAAATTGGGCCGGGCGCGGTGGTTCACGCCTGAAATCCCAGCACTTTGGGAGGCCGAGGCGAGTGGATCACGAGGTCAGGAGATGGAGACCATCCTGGCTAACAGGGTGAAACTCCGTCTCTACGAAAAATACAAAAAATCAGCCGGACATGGTGGCGGGCGCCTGTAGTCCCAGCTACACAGGAGACTGAGGCGGGAGAATGACGTGAACCTGGGAGGCAGAGCGAGACTCCGTCTCAAAAAATAAATAAATAAAATAAAAATTACATGAGTCAACACATGTGTGACTCATGTGTGTCCGTTTACATGCACTGCACGGACCTATGCAAACAAACATTTGGGACTACACACACAGACACACAAACCCCAAGATTTGTTCACAGAATAACCCCATGAGTCCTCCTTTTTCTTCTCCACACCACTGATGTGTAGAAACACAAATACTGGAAGCGAAATGTTGGGTGGGAATATTGAACCATCAGCAAATAGTCTCGAATCTTTGATCTGGGGGGGTTAGCGGGGGAGTACTCTGCTGGGAAGGGGCCTACACCTAGGAGGGAAAAGGCCAGGGGGAGGAACTGAGGTCCGCAGAGATTTGAGAGGTGTCCCTCCCTTCAGCCCAAAGAACCAGGAGACCAAGCCCCACGCCCTGCCACTATGATGTCACAGGAGGAAGGCGTCTCGCCCTGGAAGTCAAATCAATTCCCTTTGTCTTGCTCACTGAGGTCACACGGATTTTCGCGTATTTAGAGAATTTGCGGTGTGAGGTCACCCTAGAGGGCGGGTCTGTAACGTCACAAAGGACAAAGAGACCGACTGGTGTGGGAGAAGCTGGCTTTGAGCCCTATCCCCTTGCCTTGCAGAAACCCGGAATGAGGCTATTCTCAAATTCAGGGCTGGAAGGCCATCCTGTGAGCTCAGGAAGCTTGCGCTCAACACCCGTCCTCCCTCTCCTGCAGTCCTCCGGCTTCATTAAGAAAACTGGGAGGCGGTAGCGGGAGGATAGCGTGAGCCCAGGAGTTCAAGACCAGTCTGGGTAACACGGCGAGACCCCCTCTCTACAAAAAAAAAAAAAAAAAAAAATTAGCAGGGCGGGGTGGCGCGCGCCTGTAGTCCCGGCTAATCACGAGGCTGAGGTGGGAGGATCGCTTGACCCTGGGAGTTGGAAGCTGCAGTGAGCCGTGACCGCACCACCGCACTCCAGCCTGGGCAAGAGTGAAACCCTGTAATTACAGGCTCAAACCTGTAATCCCAGTCTGGGTAACATGGCGAAACCCCGTCTCTAGCAAAAATACCAAAATTAGTCTGGCTTCGTGGTGTGCCTGTAATCCCAGCTACTCCCGACGTAGGAGAATCGCTTAAACCCAGCAGGCAGAGGTTGCCGTGAGCCAAGATGGTGCCACTCACTACACTCCAGCCTGGACGACAGAGCGAGACTGCGTCTCAAAATAATAATAATAATAATAATAACAATAATAATAAATAAAAATTTAAAAAAGAAAAGAAAGTAAACTGAGGAGGTGAAAGTGGCGGAGTCTTCTTTGTGGTGAGGACGCTGGAGTGAAGATTTAGGGAGGAGTGTGGGGTCTTCCAGGAAGCTCCAATACCTGATCAGTTTTCCGCAAAACGGGCGGAACCACGTGGCTCTGGAAGTAGCTGCGGGCGTGGTAGTCCTGCTGCGCATTGTAGGGCGGAATCGCCGACCACAGCTTGGGCCTAGAGCGCCCATAAGCGCGGGCAGTGGTGCTCACAGCCACCCCGTCCAAGATAAAGCCTTTCTCCAGTCGCAGGCGACACTCGCTCAGGTATGCCATCCCAACCACTGTAGCCTTGGAGGGCCTTTCTGGAGGGAATGAGGACCCTAGGTGGGGACACCCCTGTGCATTGTTACGTGATGTCAAGGACCCCTGTGACACAAACCCTATTGTCTCCACTCACCCTGGGTTGACCGGTGGGTCCTTAAGGCAGTGGGGGAAGTTTGCTTGCTTGGTCCCAGAGGAAGTTGACCAGAGACTGACATGCAAGAGGAGTTGGAAAGTGAAGGGGAGGAGACTGGATAACTGATTGTGGGGCAGTTTGTGTGCAATTAGGCCCCGTTCCCCCAGTTTTCCTTTAAGGTGAGTATTCTCTTTTCCCACGGTATTGCATGCTATTTCCTCAGCTCAGTTTTGTTGAAAAGCTTGTACCTGGAATTGATCAGAAAGTTCAGATCGCACCTACTTCCAATTCTCATTTTACAGAGCTAGAGGTTGAAGCTTAGAAAGGTTCCCTAGGCCGAGGCGGAGCTTGCAGTGAGCTGAGATCCGGCCACTGCACTCCAGCCCGGGCGACAGAGCAAGACTCCGTCTCAAAAAAAAAAAAAGAAAAAAAAGAAAGGTTCCCTAGGCCGGGAGCGTTGGCTCACGCCAGGAACCCCAGCATTTTGGGAGAACGAGGTGGGGGGATCGCTTGAGCCCAGGAATTTAAGACCAGCGTGGGCAATACAGCGAAACCCCATCTCTACTGAATAAATGAATACTTAGCCAAGTGTGGTGGCACGCACCTGTGGACCCAGCTGCACTGCAGGCTGAGCCATGGAGGTGGAGGCTGCAGTGAGCCATGATTGTGCCACACTCCAGCCTGGATGAGAGGAGACCCTGTCTCAAAAGACCGGAAAAAAAAAAAAAAAGGCCGGGTGCGGCGGCTCACGCCTGTAGTCCCAGCACTTTGGGAGGCCGAGGTGGGCAGATCACGAGGTCAGGAAATCGAGACCATCCTGGCTAACACGGTGAAACCCCGTCTCTACTAAAACTACACAAAATTAGCCGGGCGTGGTGGCGGACGCCTGTAGTTCCAGCTACTCAGGAGGCTGAGGCAGGAGAATGGCGTGAACCCGGGAGGCGGAGCTTGGGGTGAGCTGAGATCGCGCCACTGCACTCTAGCCTGGGCGACACAGCGAGACTCCGTCTCAAAACAAACAAACAAACAAAAAAACAGATTCCCCAAATCCAGTTAGCTGACTTCCAGTCAGTCCAGTTAACAATTCTCCTGCCCCACCCGAATTAACATTATTTATTTACTTATTCTTTTTATTTATTTATTTTGAAAACAAAGTCTCACTCTGTCGCCCAGGTTGGAGTGCAGTGACTCAATCCGGCTCACTGCAACCTGTGCCTCCCGGGTTCAAGCAGTTCTCTGCCTCAGCCGCCTGAGTAGCTGAGATTACAGGCGCCCGCCACCAAGCCCGGCTAATTTTGGTATTTTTAGTAGAAACAGGATTTCACCATGTTGGCCAAGCTGGTCTCGAACTCCTGACCTCAAATTATTAGCCCACCTCGGCCTCCCAAAGTGCTGGGCTTACAGGCATGGGCCACTGTGCCTGGTCTATTTTATGTATATATATTTAAATAAAAATATAAA